CCTCTGCGCAAATAGGGGAAATCTGTTTGGAAGGACAGATATTGGTTTCACGGACGTTGGCCGCGCAACCTGTTTGCTGGGCACTGATTTTCTAGGCAGGATGCCCTTGAAAATTCTCATCGACCAGGGGTGTATTGAATCACCAACGGGACAGCGGTTGCTGTTTCTGAACTCCCCCCGGGTCGAGAGCCATCGCAGAATGCTGCCATTCATGCGATGGTTAGACAAATTGTTAAAGCGCCTCCAGGTTACATTATGGGACCTCCTTTGCCAGCACCAAAATATACTAATAGGGGTTTTTCCCCCTTTTTTCTGGCAACAAAACTGACACCTTTTGCAAGGAATCATGCTCACTATAACCACAATACTTGCAGTCAAATGCAAACAAAAAACAATACTCTGATAATTTATGGATTGTCTTTGTAAATTCTTACCCCGAGCTCTCATACGCTGATGGTGCATTGTCTTTGAGTTGTGCGCCTTTTGGCGTCATCTGGTCGAACACCATGTGAGACTAGGCTCTAAAGAAAGCTGTCTCTGGTGTGGACCAATCAACTTCAAGGACAATGCATAAATTATCAGAGTATTGTTTTTTGTTTGCAAGTATTGTGGTTAATGTAAGCATGATTCCTTGCAAAAGGTGTCAGTTTTGTTGCCAGAAAAAAGGGGAAAATCCCTATTAGTTTAGCGCCTCCAGGTTCTCAAATGCTCATACCGCTGTGATTACGCAGACAGTTGCCTTCCTATGACCACTGTTTCATTGCTTTCATGGCTTTATTTTGGTGATTTTCGAAAAGTTTTTGGTTTGGCCATGTTTGTTTGTTGTAGTACAGAGTTAGACTGATGGCCTTAATATAAGTTGTCTTGTGGTTGTTGTTGTTGTTTGACTTGCATCCCACTGGGATTTTTGCACACAACGTTGATGTATGGTGATTTTTAAATCCTTTATATTAAGTTCGCTTGCTTGCGTGCTTGCTTGCTTGCTTAGGACCGTGCAAATCTTTCGGTCGTTTTTTAACCCACTTCCCGTGATCCAATCGAGCTGACATTTTGCACACAGACTCGTTGTGCGTGACAATTTATTTTCGTGAAAATTTTTTTCCAAAATGTTACACTTTTTAGGAATTTTTTTTTATATTTAATTACCAATTGCTTAATGCTGGCAGACAATCATCTGACCCATAGGTGGCAGCCATCTCAAGCCAGAGGACGAGAGGACTCTAGCCGCCACGCATATAAAGGATTTATAGTGAAAAACTTTGTTTTTACGGGTTAATTTTTTTTTATAAATTTGCTTCTTTAAATACATTGTTTCATTAAAATTTTAATTGTTATTCGATGTAATAGGAAAATGTGATTAAAAGGGGGGGGGGGGGCGCCAATTTTATAGTTTGTCCCCGGGCGCAACATATCCTAGCCTCGTCTCTGTTGACAGAGATTCAGCGAGCTCAGCTGTGCCGGCTCTTGCACGATTTTTCCGATGTCTTTAGCACCAGCAAGTTTGATATTTGGCGCACTCATCTCCTCCACCATCACATCAATAGGGGCGACTCGCCCCCAATTCGGATGAATTCCCACAGACGTAGCCCGGCGGAGATGGAACAGGTACGCCAGGCTGTGGATGAGATGCTGGCAGCTGATATTATTTCCCCGTCCAATAGCCCGTGGGGAGTCCTAGTGAAGAAACGTGATGGGAACTTAATTTTGCGTTGATTTTGGCAAGTTAAATAAGATATCGGTGGTGGATGCATATCCCCTCCCTCGTATGGACGACTTGCTAGGTGCGTTATCGGGTGCACAGTTGAATGAGATGGTGGGTGAGTGAATGAATGGTTGAGTGAGATGGTTGCTGAGTGAATGAGTGAGATGGTGGTTGAGTGAGATGGTGGGTGAGTGAATGAGTGGTTGGATGAGATGGTGGGTGAGTGAATGAGTGAGGTGGCGGGTGAGTGAATGAGTGGTTGAGTGAGATGGTGGGTGAGTGAATTAATGGTTGAGTGAGATGGTTGCTGAGTGAATGAGTGAGATGGTGGTTGAGTGAGATGGTGGGTGAGTGAATGAGTGGTTGGATGAGATGGTGGGTGAGTGAATGAGTGAGGTGGCGGGTGAGTGAATGAGTGGTTGAGTGAGATGGTGGGTGAGTGAATTAATGGTTGAGTGAGATGGTTGCTGAGTGAATGAGTGAGACGGTGGTTGAATGAGATGGTGGGTGAGTGAATGAGTGGTTGGATGAGATGGTGGGTGAGTGAATGAGTGAGGTGGCGGGTGAGTGAATGAGTGGTTGAGTGAGATGATGGGTGAGTGAATTAATGGTTGAGTGAGATGGTTGCTGAGTGAATGAGTGAGATGGTGGTTGAATGAGATGGTGGGTGAGTAAATGAGTGGTTGAGTGAGATGGTGGGTGAGTGAATGAGTGAGGTGGCGGGTGAGTGAATGAGTGGTTGAGTGAGATGGTGGGTGAGTGAATTAATGGTTGAGTGAGATGGGGGGTGCGTGGATGAGTGGTTGAGTGAGTTGGTGGGTGAGTTAATAAGTGAGATGGTGGGTGAGTGAATGAGTGAAATGGCGATTGAATGAGATGATGAGTGAGACAGTGAGTGAATGGGTGAGGTGGTGAGTCAATGAGTGAGATGGTGACTGAGTGAGTGAATGAGTGAGATGGTGGGTGGGTGAGTGAGATGATGAATGAGACGGTGAGTCAATGAATGATATGGTGATTGAATGATTGAGATGGTGAGTGAGCGAGATGGCGAGTGAGATGGTAAGTGAGACAGTGAGTGAATGAGTGAGGTGGTGAGTGAATGAGTGAGATAGTTGGGGAGTGAATTAGTAAAATTATGAGTGAATGAGTGAGTGAATGAGTGAGATGGTTGGTGAGTGAGTGAAATTGTGAGTGAATGAGATGGTTGGTGAGTGAATTAGTAAAATGGTGAGTGAATGAGTGAGTGAATTAGTGAGATGGTTGGTGAGTGAATGAGTTAAATTTTGAGTGAGTGAATGAGTGAAGTGGTGAGTGAATTGGTGAGTGAATGAGTGAAATGGTGATTGAGTGAGTGAATGAGTGAAATGGTGAGTGAATGAGTGAAATGGTGACTGAGTGAATGAGTGAAATGGTGAGTGACTGAGTGAGTGAATGAGTGAGTGAATGAGTGAGATGGTTAGTGAGTGAATGAGTGAAATTGTGAGTGAATGAGTGAGATGGTGAGTGAATGGGTGAAATGGTGACTGAGTGAGTGAGATGGTGAGTGAATGAGTGAAAGGGTGAGTGAATGAGTGAGTGAATGAGATGGTTGGTGAGTGAATGAGTGAAATGGTGAGTGAATGAGTGAAATGGTGAGTGACTGAGCGAGTGAATGAGTGAGACGGTGAGTGAATGAGTGACTGAGTGAGTGAATGAGTGACTGAGTGAGTGAATGAGTGAGACGGTGAGTGAATGAGTGAGTGAATGAGTGATTGAGTGAGTGAGTGAGTGAGTGAATGAGTGAGACGGTGAGTGAATGAGTGATTGAGTGAGTGAATGAGTGATTGAGTGAGTGAATGAGTGAGACGGTGAGTGAATGAGTGAGTGAATGAGTGATTGAGTGAGTGAGTGAATGAGTGAGACGGTGAGTGAATGAGTGACTGAGTGAGTGAATGAGTGAGACGGTGAGTGAATGAGTGAATGAGTGAGTGAGTGAATGGTTGACTGAGTGAGTGAATGAGTGATTGAGTGAGTGAATGAGTGAGACGGTGAGTGAATGAGTGATTGAGTGAGTGAATGAGTGACTGAGTGAGTGAGTGAATGAGTGAAATGATGAGTGAATGAGTGATTGAGTGAGTGAATGAGTGAGACGGTGAGTGAATGAGTGATTGAGTGAGTGAATGAGTGAGACGGTGAGTGAATGAGTGATTGAGTGAGTGAATGAGTGAGACGGTGAGTGAATGAGTGATTGAGTGAGTGAATGAGTGACTGAGTGAGTGAGTGAATGAGTGAAATGATGAGTGAATGAGTGATTGAGTGAGTGAATGAGTGAGACGGTGAGTGAATGAGTGATTGAGTGAGTGAATGAGTGAGACGGTGAGTGAATGAGTGATTGAGTGAGTGAGTGAATGAGTGAGACGGTGAGTGAATGAGTGATTGAGTGAGTGAGTGAATGAGTGAAATGATGAGTGAATGAGTGATTGAGTGAGTGAATGAGTGAGACGGTGAGTAAATGAGTGATTGAGTGAGTGAATGAGTGAGACGGTGAGTGAATGAGTGATTGAGTGAGTGAGTGAATGAGTGAGACGGTGAGTGAATGAGTGATTGAGTGAGTGAGTGAATGAGTGAGACGGTGAGTGAATGAGTGATTGAGTGAGTGAATGAGTGACTGAGTGAGTGAATGAGTGATTGAGTGAGTGAATGAGTGAGTGAATGAGTGAAATGATGAGTGAATGAGTGATTGAGTGAGTGAATGAGTGAGACGGTGAGCTTTGACGGTGGGTCACGTGAATTCGCATATTTTTCCCTTTTTTTTTAATAAATAAAAAATAACGGTCCATTTGACGGAAATTAAAACGTTAACTTCTAAAAGGGGAGCCTCGGTTTGGTGGAATGTGTCTCTCCGTGGCTCTTTTAAGTCGAATTTCCCCCTCCAGGTCCAGATTGTGAATTTTAAAAAATTATATTTTTTAAATTTATTTTTTAAAAATTCACAATCCCGGTGACGTCACGCGCATTAAATGGAGACCGGGCGAGGCCGCATCACGACCCGACGAACGCCACACGTGCGCACACAAAAAAAAAACCTCCTCTGAAAAGAAATAGTGCGCTAACACACACCATAAAAAAAAACCCGAGATTTATCTCTCACGCAAACTCTCAACCCCTCCTCCCCCAACACTCGAAACGATTTAATATTTTCCCACCCACCAAAGTATATTTATTTTAAAAATACGTTTTAATTTGCGGTGATTTAAATAACCACCCACCCCATCACCGCTGTGCTGCTGCTGGTGGGTGGGGGTGGGTCGCGGCCGCTTCACATAAAGTATCGCTGCGCGGACCGGGCCGCCCTTCTTTTCCGTTTTGCCGCGAAGCTGCGAGGGAAAATGTCCGACACGTCTGCCGAGTACAGGTAACGACTTCGACGGCCAAAGGGGCACCAAAAGCCGCGCCGCGTTCGTCGAAAACGTCGCCGTTCGAGCGGCGAGATCGTTCTCCGTCGTTTGTCGTGCGACTCGAGTTCGTGGGCGGAATTTTTTTTTTTCCCCTCACGACACCCGCCCGGCCCCTCTGGTCGGGGAGGGGGGTGGCGCCGCCGGGGTCGTCGCGCAACCATCCGGGGAGGTTGGTCAGGCAAGACCGAGGCTTCGTTCGAGGCCCCGTAGAGGCCTAGGCTTTCACCAGCACCACCACCCACGTTCTCGCGCCGAAGGGCGTTTTAAAATAAAAAGTCGCACGTGGCGAATACAACGTCGACGTTTTTGTTAACGTTATTAAATGTACCTTCGGTGCGTCGATGTTACCAACAATAGATTTACGTGAAATCAAAACTAAATAAATCAATTTGACCTTTATAACAAAAAAAGCCGACGCAAGTGCGTGCGGCGGCGGCTTTTGTGTTAAAATGGAGCGGCGTTTTGTTGTTGGATAAATAAACGTGAAACCGTCGTTACGAAACGACGTGAAGGGCACGAATGTTCTCGGGGAAAGGCTTCGTGGTGCGGGAGCGCGAGCGAGTCGCAGGCTCCGTGAGGAGGAGGCGGCGTGGGGGGATGGGGAGGGCCGCGTGGGCTCGGAACGTAAAATGGAGGCGGTTGCGGCGGGCGATGATGATGATGGTGGTGGTGGTGGTGATGATGATGGTGGTGGTGGTGATGGGTGATGTTGGTGGTGGTGGTGATGGTGATGGTGATGTTGGTGGTGATGATGATGATGGTGGTGGTGATGATGATTGGTGGTGGTGGGTGATGTTGGTGGTGGTGGTGATGATGATGGTGGTGGTGATGGGTGATGTTGGTGGTGGTGGTGGTGATGGGTGATGTTGGTGGTGGTGGTGGTGGTGATGATGTTGGTGGTGGTGATGGTGATGATGGTGGTGGTGGTGGTGATGTTGGTGGGTGGTGGTGATGGTGATGATGATGGTGGTGGTGATGGTGATGATGGTGGTGGTGGTGGTGATGATGGTGATGTTGGTGGTGGTGATGATGTTGGTGGTGATGATGATGATGGTGGTGATGGTGGTGATGATGATGATGGGTGGTGATGGGTGATGTTGGTGGTGGTGGTGATGGGTGATGTTGGTGGTGGTGGTGATGGGTGGTGATGGATGGGTGGTGAGGATGATGGTGGGTGGTGGTGAGGGTGGTGATGGTGGTGGTGATGATGTTGGTGGTGGTGATGGGTGATGTTGGTGGTGGTGGTGATGATGATGGTGGTGGTGATGGGTGATGTTGGTGGTGGTGGTGATGTTGGTGGTGGTGATGGGTGGTGAGGATGATGGTGGGTGGTGGTGGTGAGGGTGGTGGTGGTGGTGAGGATGATGATGATGGTGGTGGTGATGGTGGTGGTGATGGGTGGTGGTGAGGATGATGATGATGGTGGTGGTGATGGTGGTGGTGATGGGTGGTGGTGAGGATGATGATGGTGATGGTGGGTGGTGATGGTGGTGGTGAGGATGGTGGTGGTGAGGATGGGTGGTGATGATGGTGATTATGATGATGGGTGGTGATGGGTGGTGGGTGGTGATGATGGTGGTGAGGATGATGGGTGGTTGTGGTGATGATGGTGGTGAGGATGATGGGTGGTTGTGGTGATGATGGTGGTGAGGATGATGGGTGGGGGTGGTGGTGGTGATGAGGATGGTGATGGGTGGTGGTGATTATGATGATGGTGGTGGGTGGTGGTGATGTCGGTGGTGATGGGTGACGTTGGTGGCGGTGGTGATGATGGGTGATGATGGGTGATGGTGGTGATTATGGATGATAGTGGTGGTGATGGGTGATATGGTGATGATGGTGATGATGGGCGTTGGTGATGATGATGGGTGATGCGAGTGCTTTAACGTTAAATCCGCTTAGATATTAACGTAATCTCGTTAAACAAACTATACTATATCACGTGTGAGGGGGGGGGGAGGGTGGATTTCAACGTCTTAAATGAACTAAACAACGGCACAATGATAGTGGTGATGGTGGTGGAGAGACTTGCTGTGTGTGTGTGTGTGGCATCTTTGTGGGGAGCGAGTTCATCTCACGGGCTGTGCTTTTGAGTGGTTCGATACGAACCCCCCATTTGGAGATCCCCGATTGATTATCCGAACCGGTCCGGTTACCACCCGTCCTCGAATTAGAGATTACCCGGTGCTGTTCATAGAACGTCACCACTGTTGGGAGAGAGACAAAGGCGGCCGGGTGTGGTGCTAGCCACCCACCATCACCTCGTGTGTGTGTGTCACAGTTCCCGGCTTCCTGCGTAGGCGCTCCAACTCGCTTAACTAACATCACTTTCCCCACCCAACACGGGGGAGGCAAATCTTTGTCTTTGTGTGGCATCCATTAGCCGGGGGCTTCTCTGCACGTATCCCGAGAGGGATAATCTATCGGATCGCGGGGGATGAGATGGCAGCGGATTGGGTTGGATAAGGAGGATTGTTCTTCATCCAGCAGTGGATTGATCATGGGTACTGATGATGATGGTCAGTCTCGTGTTAGCAGTGCTGCTTGGCGAACTGGACCAGTTGATGGTATTTCCCGTCGAGTTTCCGCCAGGAAGATTTGACTAACGAGGCTTGGGAGAGACCCTCATCCAGCAGTGGATTGACCATGGCTACTGATTGTTGATGATGGTCAGTCTCGTGTTAGCAGTGCTGATTGGCGAACTGGACCAGTTGACGGTATTTCCCGTCGAGTTTCCGCCAGGAAGATTGAACTAACGAGGCTTGGGTGAGACCCTCATCCAGCAGTGGAATGACCATGGCTACTGATTGTTGATAATGATGATGATGGTGGTTAGTCTCGTGGTAGCAGTGCTGCTTGGCGAAACGGACCAGTTGACGGTATTTCCCGTCGAGTTTCCGCCAGGAAGATTGGACTGGCTTGGGGGAGACTCTCATCTAGCAGTGGAATGACCATGGCTACTGATTGTTGATGATGGTGATGGTTAGTCTCGTGTTAGCAGTGCTGCTTGGCGAACCGGACCAGTTGAAAGGATCTGCTCGCCAGAGTGGCCACAGTGAGCGGGGTGGGGTGATAGTCAAAAGTCAAGTGGACGGCACAAGAGTTGAATGAATTGTTAAATCCATCTGTGCCGAGCCTTGAGCTGTGAAACAATGCACGCGGTGCGGGTGGTGGCGTTTGGTAGAGCGGTGGTGCAGCGGTTAGCGCTACGTAAACCAGGCGGACCCAAGTTTGATTCCCTCTCACGGCCAACACCGGGTGACGATTATCTGAACCGGTCCTGGGCCGCCTCCCCTAGGTAGACTCGGCCTCGAATGAGTCAACTGATGCGGTGTGTAGTAAACATCGCCACTGGGGAGACAAAGGCGGTCGGGCGTGGCGCTGGCCACCCCCTCGTGTGCCACAGTGCCGGCCTTTCATAGGTGCTGCTACTCACTAACAGCACTTGTACCAACAGTTCAGGCTGTAGGGGGGGGGATGTATCTATTATCTAGATCTTATAGGTTTGTTTGGATTAAGAGGTGTGCACAAAAGACGGGATGTGGGTGGATTTTTTTTGGTTTGTTTGTGAAATCCATCTGTACGGAGTCGTCTTGCGGGACCGGTCCCACCCCCACCGCACGTCCACCCCTTCCCGTTTCTCCCTTCCCGGTTCACGAAACAGAGGAGGAGCGGATGGTGGTGGCTGATTTTGGTTTTGGTTTGGTCCAATGTCCAAAATGTTGCAAGCGAACAGCGGCAGGCAAGGCGCGAGAGTTAAAGATCCGTTCAGAGAGACTCTTTATTTTAACACGCTTTAGTTACATAAACTCCCGGAGCCATAACTCCACCCGTGTCCGGTCACGTGCTCTTGCTTGACCATACTTCCCCCCACGCTGGTCAGTCGTGGGGGGGAGGAGGAGGGGGGGGGAGGGTTTAACGAATGAAGGTGGCGTAAGAGGGGACACGATAGGGCCAGTTACAGACATCATCAACTCGCCCGCTGCTCAGAGGTCGCAACCGGGTACCCGATACCCGTACCCTACCCGATACCCGGCTACCCGTACCCAGTCGGGTACGGGTACCCGTTTGCGACCCTGGTGCGGCCGGGTACGGGTACGGGTAGGCCGTGAGTCACTGGTGAGTAACTGTTTGTCACTCATTTCGGGTAGGGAACGGGTACCCATACCCGGCCGGGTACGGGTAGCCATTTGCGACCCTGGTGCGGCCGGGTACGGGTAAGGAATCAAAACCCGTTTGCGACCTCTGCCGCCGCTGCATTATTGTTTAGCCTCGGCCTGGAGTCGAACTCTGGTGGGGGAGGGGAGGCAGGATGGGTCACCGCTCCCCCCAACACCACCTCATCCACACGAGTGGACAAAGAGACACCCTGGAGCTTTGTGATAGTTGCCTTTGCCTCCCTTGCGTGGCCGAAATGCGAGCGAGCGCGTGTGCATGTTGAACTTATTTCGCACCGCGCGTAGCTAACCGTGCTATGTGTGGTCTGTGTTGAACTTTTTTCGCACCGTACGTCGCGCGAATCGTAGATGCGGGGGGGGGGGGGAGATGGCTATTGAAACACAACAACCAGTTCTAAGTAAACTTAGTTTGTCAATCCTAGATGGTGATGGTGATAATGATAATGATTCAAAAGTGGCAGAGCGCCCAGCGGCTTCCTAATACCGGGCAGGAAGAGAGCGTTCCAGACGGCCACGGAAGCGGCGGCGCATCTGAAAACGTGTGCATGACGACGACTACGATGATGATGCGGTGACCCACCCCATCGTTTTTTTACCGCATCACGCGATGCTTTCGGATGAGCTTGTGAAAGAGGCTTTCGGACCCCCTCTCCTCCCTCTCTTCCCCCTCCCTCCTTCCCTCATTCCTTGTTTGCCTTGGGATCTTGACGCCAGTCCCCTCTGGCTGGCTTTGCCGAGTTCTTGCGTAATGGGGATTTTTCGCTGG